ATATGACCAGAATTCTAGAATTCTGAATACAAACTCCATATATACTAGAAACTTAATTTATCAGAAAGATAACAATACACTCGAAGTTCAAAACCTATACAACTATGGACTTGTGACGTAGGTAACCTAGGATTTGTAATGAAGCAAACTTCTACTGCACCACATCTGATCCTAATCACAAGGTTACTGTCTGAATTGAGGCCATTTTCTGTTCTATCCCTGCCTAACAAGTGTCAAGAGATGGGCCTCTGAACCTCTTAAGTCCTCCTTAAAATATAGAAGGTCTATAGCTCCCAATCCATCTGGCCCACCCTTGGATCTTGAAACCACACACATTACCTCAATGAGGAAAGGGTAACATGGAAATGTCCTCATAAGATCGTAAGACAGAGCCACCAGTGAAGTTGGAGTATTAGAGAAAGCCACTCCCAGGATTTCAGAACAAGGCATGCTTGGTCTCTTAAACCATGCCCTCTGTTGTTCTTGACTAGAGACATGCTGCTTGTTATCACTTCAGCTCATGCCAATCATGAAAAGCAGTTTTTATCCAATGATAATACGCAGGAAAAGGATCTCTGTTAACTCAGAATGAAAAAGCATGTCCCTACTGTATATGGTACCAGCTGTCACTCTAGGCCGGAGCAGTCTTGCACTTAATGGGAATCTATGCAAACCTGGACCCAGTGCCCGATTTCCTTTCTGGCTTCCCCACCATCATCCACCTCCACACAGCAGGACTGCTGAGGTTGAGAGACATTCTCATTCCTGGGGTTCTGCCTGGTTCTCCATGGAATCTCCCAAGGCTCTCCTTCGGTGTCTCCCCTATTCTGCCTTAGCAGAGACCGGGCCTTACCTCTGGTGATCACTGCTATCTTGGTGTCCCCCACAGTTTGTCAAAAGTCACTGAGGTCCCAGGATCTGGCCAAGCAACACCTCACTCAAGCTTTAAATCCCAAGTCTCTCTCTAGCTGGCCCCACCCCTCAACCTTGTCCTTCTTCTGATTTGGTGTGCTGATTACAAGATTGGGCCTCCAGGCTCCAAGCCTCTGGACTGTAGAATTCTAAGCTCTGGGACTCCAGGCTCTTACCAGATCTGATCCCACCTGTCATGAAGAGGCAGGTGTGGGCTGCCTCAGTGGCCTGTGTGGAGCTGAACCTATGGACCTTGTTAGAGAAACAGATGGCTAGGCTTTCCACATTCAATCACTTGATGCTTAACATTTTGCTTGATGGGTAGAGCAAGAAATACGTTTTTCTTGGTAAACAAGTACCACAGTTCCTGTTTAATTCACATCTAAGGTAATATTCTGTGGAAACACAGGTCTTGGGCAATCTTTTTCCTCACTCTCACAGTGTAACGGAGATGCTTTCACAGGAATCTTTAAGGGAAGGTGATTCCTACACAAGACAGCAACATTCAAGGCTAAAATCTAAGAGGAAAAATGAATATCTTTGCTATCGGAGTCCTCGAAACTGTCTGGCTTTTCTTTACTTCGATTTACATTGAACAATCACTAACAAGATCTATCACCTGTGATATGTAAAATGTTTAATCACATAAGGGATATGGAAAACATTATGTTTTTATTTGCACTCATTGTAATCATTCACTTAAAAACAGAATGCAACAACGTGGTAGTTTTCATAGTGCTTAAGAGATTTTGCTGGAGTAGTCAAGCTGTAATAAAAAAATACACAGAGGGTACACTTGGGTAGAAGTAAGGAAAGAAATAGAGAGGAGAGAGAGAGAGAGAGAGAGAGAGAGAGAGAGAGAGAGAGAATAGAAAGACCCTAAAGGTGGTGTGTATTTTCCCTTTTTCATTGGCCCTTGACAAGTTTTGTGCCAATCACTGGCCCCAGAAAATTAAGTTTTACTCCTTCAGATAGGAAAATCAAACTGAGTAATTACTTCACCTACTCTGTAGCTCCCCTACAATTCCTGAGCTGCTGAAGAATGGTCCTTACTGTGGAAATATGTCAAGTCAGCAGAAATTATTTCTACCTGATCACCCTTCAAATCCGATCAGGGTTCGCCTCCTCCACTGTGACCCATTTGGAGTCTGGTCATACATGCCAGGTAACCCTTGAACTCTGATGGCCATACCTACCAGACATCCCTTGAACTCTG